CCCCAAAACCCCAAAACCCCAAAACCCCAAACTTAAAAATTAAGATTGATGTTACTAAAATTATATTAACCAGCCATTGAAAGTTTGGAGCAAGTAAGGCTATTTGTGTATAGCCAACTACACAAGTTTCTGGTCATATCAATAGCGTCAGCTCGATCAATTCCAAACGAATGATCTTCCATGAAAACTGTGATTAGTTCGTTTCACATCTCTGGAATTTTCTCTGCATTATTCACTGTGCAAAAATCAATCTGGGAATAGTCTATCTCTCACTTGTCTGATCTTTCAAACTTGTCTGAACTTTCTGTAGTTTCATTTTTCACTGAAGATTTGTCAATATCATCTGAATCCGCCAATTTTGGTCCTAATTTGTTAGCACATTCTCTGTATATAATGATGAATTTCAGGAGAAGTTTATAGAAGCTCTCATTGACCTTTTGGGAAGCCTGCCTCAGATAAACTGCAAAAATATCATCACAATTAAGCTTGTTTCTCTCTTCTTCGCCCATCTTTTCATACTCGATTTCCAGTGCTGGGTCCTTGAGCTTGGCACTCTTCTCTCTTTCTTCCTCAGGATTTCCAGGAGTTCTCTCAAAACTAAATTTGTGCAGGCTCTCATAAAGAGGATACCTTGAGAAATCAACTTCTTCCTTGTTTAGTTGTTTCAGGACATGAATGAGGCAGTCTTCAAAACCAGTGAGGGGATCTGTAGGTCCCCCACATTTCTCCATAGTTTTGAAGTAATCGTCACTCTCAGGATTAAGCTTGGTAACCTTGCCAAAGTTCTTCCTTGGCCTGCCCCTTCCTCTACCAGTAGTCATGATCATATCAGGATTGCCACCACTACCATTGTAGTAATGCTTGGTCTTCATATGTGTGTACATAGCTGGGTAGGACAAGTAAGCATTTTCTCAATAATGGCATTTGAAGTCTCTGCCAGCTTGATCATGCTTACTTCTCCTCTTCTGCCTTGGTTTTCCTGACATAGTTAATGACATTTTTTTAATATTATATTCTTTTATCAAAATTACTCTCTTTAAAAGGGGTTTTGGGGTTTTGGGGTTTTGGGGTTTTGGGGTTTTGGGGTTTTGGGG